GATTTACGCATGCTTTTCTTTTTTTCTCTCAGTGGGAGACGTATATTCTCTGAATTAGCTTGCTTTTTCATAAAATGAGGTGATCTATGTTGTGGGAACCAGATTTGATTTGGGAATTTATAGTTTTGTTACGTCATAGCTAGAGGTCTGATAAATGAATTTGTGCGTTTAACTTTTTTTATGTTGTCTAAATATTACTTTTATTTACATATAAAGTTAAAATTTAGCTAGGTAAGTAAAATCAGAATAGTTAACAAACTTAAGTAGAAAAAAGAACAACAATGTATTATGCAAAGATTACTAATGAGCTTAACTAATTATAATCTTACATATTACATGGAACAGTTGTAACATACAATAATGGATATATTTCGAGTCAAATGCCGATGGACGCCCCCTTTATGCCGATTAATACTAGTGGGACATGCAGGTATTACAGGCCATGTCTGGCAAGATTGAGGTCAGGATATCAATGTTATTCGAGATCGCTCGTACACGGATGAGTCGCGATCGGGCTGTGGCACCACACGATAAAAAAATGTTACTCTTATGATTACCCGGTATTTAAAGGAAATTGAAATGAGAAATAAGATTTAAAGAATTATAGACAAAAAACTTTTCAACTTGACAAATTTATAAAGGGATCTCTGGTTTTGTAATGCAGACAAAATTAAAAAAAAATTGTGCAAATGCTACGCATTTATGTTGTACAAATTAATTGGTTCTTTTATTTGATCCATTTATGAACATTACTTTTTTAAAAAATACATCTATTATTTTGCACTTCTAGTAGTACATATCATCTCTTTGTTTTAAACAGAAATAATCAGTCATTAGTTTAAATTATATTCATTTAAAAAAGTTGTTCCCAGAAAATATTTCCTTAATTTTTTCATCCACAATTTTTTCTTTTCTCTTTACTGAATAGAATGAAGAACATTTTAAAAACAAAATATTTAATATAACCTATCTTCATTGCGATTTTATCAGTTATGCTTACAACTTTTCAATTAAAAAAGCTTAAAATTTGAAGTTTAAAATAGAAAATTCTTCTACATTTCATTTTTGTTACCTTTGTTGTTTTATTTTGGGAAATTTCTTTAATAATTTTTTTTTAGGATTTTTCAAAATTGAGATTTCAAAATGCCACAAAATTACATAAAATGCTGTCTTAGTTGTATAAATAATTAACTTCGAATTTCCCCACATTTTTATCCAACTGATCCTAAACACATTTTTGTTGTTTACAAATTAATTGTCCTAAGACTAAATGATTCATTTATTTTTTAGTTTTGTTATCTTTACTTTAAGGCAATATAAGCTGCAACTTTCAAGTCAATTAACTCAAAGTCAGAAAAGAGTTTTAATTAACTACAATTGTTCATATTTGTAATAGAAGAACTATATCTACGAGGGATGTCCGTAGAGTTCGTAGACAAGCTAAGAATTAAAGAAAAGTTGTGTCATTCATATTTATCATTACATTTCTAATCTTTTAATAAATGTGAATTGAAAAATGTAAAAGTTTATTCAATTTCAAATGTTTAATTACAATTATAGCTTCATAATTAGACTTGGAATGGAGACCCGGGGTACCGCAAAATTTTCATTAAAGAATTATTTATCACTTTGTATATTCCATTGATATTTTATAAAATTCTGCTGTTATCTGGATGACTTTTGAGTAAAATCAGGTGACCCATTGCTATGCTTTTTCATCCGTCGTACGTTGTTCGTAAACTTTTGAAAATTTTAACTTCTTCGCTGAAACTGCTGAACTAATTTCAACCAAATTTGGTATACAGCATTCATTGGTATTGGGGAACAAAAATTGTAAATGTCATAGTCCCTGCCTTCCTGGGGCCTTAGGGGGTAAAAACAACTAAAATTAATGCAATTTTTAAAAATCTTCTCCTTTACTCTTGGACATCAAGCAGTCAAACTGTTGACAGGATTGTAATAAGCATTTAGTACTCTACCAAAATTGTGAAATTCATGGCCCCTGGATCAGGGGTTCTGGTGTTAGGGCGGGGCTATATATAGATCATAAAGTAACAGTGCATTATTTCTTTGAAAATCTTCTTCTCTGCTCCTGGGTCTTAAATAAACTTACTAAGAGCATAGTTTTGATGACCAAGAGTGCCTCTTGAAAAATTGTGAAATTCATGGTCCCTGGGTCTATGTTCTGGTTTTAGGGTGGAGCTATATAGATCATATCTAAAAGTAAAAGTCTATTATTTCTTTGAAATTCTTCTCTGCTCTTAGGTATTAAATAAACTAACTAAGAAAATGATTATGACAATCAAGAGTGCCTTTTTCATAATTGTGAATTTCATGGCCCCGGGGTTAAGGGTTCTTGTGTAAAGGCGGGGCTTTATTGATTGTACTGTAAAAAAACATTTATTTTCAAAAATCTTCTTTTCTGCTCCTCGGTATTAAACAAGCTAATTGAGTACATAGTGTTGGGAGATGTGTATTGTTTCATCATGTATATTATTAGTAATATTAAGATTCTTGAACTTTGTTTATGTCTAGAACTTTCCAGGAATATCATGTATTTACAATTTCTAGAATATTCTAGATTTATATTACTGTATAAATACCCTGTCAATTCGATGCATATAGACGGTCGTATAAGCATCATTGAGGTTTTACTGGGATATAACTTCACTGGGACATTGTGTGCAGCAACGGACACTCTGATGTATGTATTTTTATATTTTTGCTAAGTTTGTACTTCATGATTTGTATATTACTGTAAATAAATTATTGTTAAGTTTAAACTGTGTGATTGATCTTTGCTGGCATTTAGGGTTATTCTGACCCATAACAATAGTTATAATAAACAAGAGTGCATCCTCCAAAATTGTGAATTTTATGGCCCCAGGGTTAGGGGTTATGGTGTTAAGGTGGGGCTCTATTGATTATATAGTGAAAATGCATTAATTCTTCAAAAAAAAATTTTCTCTGCTCCTGGGTGTTAAACCAATAATCTATTTACATAGTTATGATGAGGAAAAATGTCTTATCGAAATTTGTGAATTTCATGGCCCCTGGTTCAGGGGTGTTGGTTTAAGGAGGGAACTCTTTTGATTATATAGTGAAAATGAATGAATTCTTTGAAAATCTTCTTTGCTCCTGGGTATTAAACAAAGTAAGTAAGCATAAAGTTATGATGAACAAGAGTGTTTCTTCCACAATTGTGAATTTAATGGCCCCTGGATTGGGGGTTGTGATGTTAAGACGAGGCTTTATTGATTATATAGTGAAAATTCGTTGTTTCTTCAAAAACCTTCTTCTCTGTTCCTAGGTATTAAACAATTAAAGTATGTACATGTACAAAGTTATGATGAGGAATGATGCCTCTTCCAAAACTGTGAATTTCATGGTGGTTCTGGTGTAAGGGTAGGGTTCTAATGATTATATGTAGTGAAAATGCATGAATTCTTTGAAAATCTTTTCCGTTGCTCATAGGTACTATGCAAATGATTAGTACATATTTTTATGATGAAGAAAGGTGAATCTAGCAAAATGATTTATTTCATGTTCTTTCGGTCGGGGGTATCGGGATGAGGGGGGGGGGGGGGTAACAGTACATAGTCTGAAGATAAATAAATGCTTTGAAATCTGCTATGTGATATTGATCAACTATCTATGATGAAAACAAATTTACGATAAAATTTCCAAATTAATCAACCAATTAAGAAGAAATAAAATTTATGAAAAAATTTCCAAAATTTGAAATATGTGGCCCCAGGGTCAGTGGTTCCTGTGGGTTGGGGTGTACCACTGGTTATTTAGTGAAAATACATTTTTTTCTTTCTTACTCTGATCTAACTTTGTGTTTTAAGTAACGAGAGTAAACAAGTGTATAATTATGATAAGCAATGGTGCTTCTTTAAAAATTGTGAAATTCATTGCATCTGGTTTAAAACACGATCCAAATTCAATATTTGGAAAGATGTTTCATGATACTCAGGTGACTTAGAGGGCCCATGGCCTCTTGTTTTAATCTGATAAAAATATAACTATTTGTGCTTTGTTTTTGTCGCAAACGTTAATGTTAATAAATGAAACACGAATTTAATGAAATTATAAGTTACATATTTTTTATCAATGTTTGTTTGTAATTATCAATGTTGTCCACAAACGTAACGGACAATCCTCGTATAAGCTTTGATTGAAGTAAAATTACACAATTCCCATCCTGATTTCATATAATACAGGGACCATGACATTTTCAACAGTGAAATACTGGTATTAAGTCATTGAATAAAAATGATATTTTGTTACAGTGTGAAAGGATATCAAAATGAGTGTGACCCTGGACCCGTTTACCAAAAAAAAAAAAAAAAAAAAGAACAAAATTATAGAATGTTGATTACTTTCTTAACTTTGATTTGAAAAGAAATTTAATCTTTTTAAAAATAATTCAACAATATGTTTTGTGTAGTAATGTCTAACAAGATAATCATATTTTACAAACAACATAAGTATCATATATTTCGATTCAAATGCTGATAGACGTTTTTATACTAATTTAACACTAAATTGTCAACGAATTTGATTCTCCCTTTTGTACTGATTATGACAAGGAGCTCACACAGGTATTACCGGTCGGTTAGGGATGCTCACTCCTCCATGGAATTCATTTCACCTCAGAACTTTTAAAAATCAGTATTTCCTCTGCTCCTGATTTATATTCGTTAAATAAACTGAACTTGAAAAAATCTCTGTACCCCGGTATCTCACGATTAAAAATAAATATCATCTTTCATTGTACGTGGATCTGATCATTATTGTTAATATTAGTAAGAGTGTCCGAAATCTCACTGTCTTTACATGTGGGAAAAAAGGTGAAGATAAAGGACAGGGATCGATCGCGCAAAAACTACACAAAATACAATTCTGTGTACAGTGCATAACAGGGACACATGGAAATTACAGAGGTGGGATCAGGTACCTGGGTGGTGTAAGCCCCCCCCCCCCCCGTTGACCGATTATAACCTGCCTTGAGCCCTATGCAAGATAATCAGTCGTTCTATATATCTGTATACACACAGTCTGTTGGTCTTTCCTGATCCCATCCAAACAAGATGACTTTTTTCGTCATATCCAAGACCCAATGGCTGAACCATTCCATCTTGTTTTGTTGGTAGAATTGACAGTAGGAGACCGTTCTTGTTAATCATTTGTATTGTTTGGTCTAGTCGACCACATATCAGGATATTTAAGAATGCATCTACACAGATTCCACATGGCATAAATAATGACAATCCTTCTGGTGGTCCTGTGTAAGTGAAACTATATTTTCCTTCACGGTCAGTGAATACCACACCCTTTTCTGTATCAGACACGATAATATCTCCATTGTGGTTCTCCGTGATGTAGACAGGTTCATGATATAATTGTTTGCCTGTCTCGTGGTATTGGATAGTTTGGATTGATTGAACTGTACTATTATATCGAATGCATTTCACATCTGATAATGATATGGAAGCATTATCATAATCAAATCTCATCATGTCCAACAAATCTTCAGTAGAAGAAGAATGACAGATACACCACGGTTCCCATCGTTCTGTTCTCTTTATCAATGTCGACTTTGTAGTATTGTCTGCACTTAGTTTGTTAATGTTCCAGTCTTTGTCTACATAAATCAACTCTCCTGCACTGTTTACTGTATGCACACCATAAAGTTCGCTTAGATCAAATAAATGATGTAGATTGTTATCTTTCAAATCTGTTAAAATAAGACTGCGTCCATCATTGACCCAAATCCTATCTGATGTCAAAAAAGAAATGTGAACACCATGAATTAAGTCAGGTACAGCAACATACTTCTTTAACATGCCTTGTGGCATTAGCTTTAACATTTGTTCATTATTTAATTGTCTTTTTCCTTCCTCTGTGATTTTAATTTCAACTAATAACTCTAAAATGCCCTCTGTTTCTATTTCTTCATTTAAGTTACACATTATTTTATCAGGAAGGTCTGTTATTTTTGGGATTGAGGTTTTCTTTATGAACAACAAAAATTTTACAGATTTGTTTGCTAGTTTCTCGTATCTGTGCACATATTCTTTCATTTTGTGATATTTCAATATAAAGCTCATATAAAAGTTTTTTTTATGCAAAACATTGAGTGTCTTACTATGTTTATCGGTAAGTTTTTTCAAGCTTTCAGCTTTAACCGTGAGCTGCTCTTGGATGCTGGAAAATTTGTATCGAGGTACACAACGTGTTTTTGCTTACAATATATACACAGATTTTGTTTGCCTGGTCTGCAGTAAAATTGTACGTCATTCCCACACTGACAGCATTGAAGAACTTTAATCTGTGTTGTGACTTTCGTATTAACCATGCTATTTGGTCTCACATGTCTTCTAGGTTCAAAATTTTATTTCAGAGTAAAGTCTGCAATTTAAAAACATACTGAATATCCATAACTAACAATATATTGAATTCCATATTAATTACAAGGATTAAGAAATAAATATAATCATATTTTTCACAGACACGTAAACATTCATGATAAGTAGATCGTAATAGGGGACAGATGATACAAACAAGCTTTCATAAAAAAGATTTTTAAAATAACAATTTGAGTCATGTTCATACGAGGGCTGTTCGGAAATTATTGAGACAATTACATTTACTCCATAAAGGACGGAGATAATTTCATGAGAATTCATCAACATCTTATAAAGAGCGTATAAAACACTTAAGCAAATTTTTTAATTCCTATGATAATTATATAAGTTTCTGTGAAGTAATAAATATGCTTGTCTATCGACCCGGAGCAGCCTCGCTACGTCATTTAACGTAACGTTTGCTGTAGATTGTTTCGCATGTGAAACGATCGGGAAGCGTTAAATACTCTTCCTTCTTTGTTATTACATATACAAAATTACAAAAATCAAACAGTCTCTTTTCTTAAACTATTCTTTAAAAATGTATGCTGTTGCTACCCCAATCAAAAATTTTCATTTATGGGGAAGGACGACTTAGAATCATGCAGTGCCAATTAATGCAACGCGGGTTAAATACCGTAACGATATCAATACTGTATGTAATAACTCATGGTCTTCCCGATCTTTTAATTTTACTCTTGTTAAATTAATTGCTAAAAATGTATACCAGGGAAATAACAAACCCTAACACATCATTTTTTTTCTCGTTGTTATTGTTTAAGCAGGTCGTTCAGTCTTGAAAAAGAGTTCTGCATTGCGCTACACAAAAATTTAGGTATGCTGGCTGCTCCGCCCTTGACGTCAAAATCAATTTTTTCGTTGTAAGCCCATTTCTCTACCGCACTTAATTTTTTTCCGTATTTCTTATCAAAATTCTATCAAAGTTGCACAACATGAATTTGAACCAAAGCTAAAAAATTATACACTTAAACTGAATTATTTTTGCTCTCATTATTGATCCATGAAGAGTTAGAATTTTGAGGTATCATATTTTCAATGTCTGACTCCACGACTGCTCCGGGTACCCCT